CACACACACACACACACACACACACACACACACACACACACACACACACACACACATTACAGATAGTTGACCAAAGATTTCTTTAGGCTTTGACATGTTCCTGCAGCCTTGCTGCTTCTTGTGTTTGAAGAAGTGAGGCTGCAGACAAGCTTTACATTCCCCTCTCTGATGTCTGGAATAAAATTATAACCACAGAGCTGCTTACTTCGCTTTCAGTCTAATCTAAATCCCATAACCACCTGGAAATGTCGGCTCAGAGTTTGAGGAGGAAAAAAAAGTCTTTGATGTTAAGACGATTTTATTTTCCTTCCCACCTGTGCTCATAACCCTGYCTGAATCTGCCTCTCAGGTACGTCCACGCCTTGTATTTGGGGGTGCAGAGCCGCTGGCACGGAGACCCCGAGCGCCGCCACTACTACTGGCGCATGATGTTCGAGAACGCCGACATCAGCATGCTTCGTCTGCTGGAGTCCTTCCTGAAGAGCGCCCCTCAGCTGGTGCTGCAGCTCAGCATCATGATCCACACCAGCCAGGTGCTGCCCCTTCAGGGTGAGTGACCCCGAGTGTCAGTCAAAAACATCACCAGGCTGATCTACTGCCCTCAAACAAAAAACCCACTCAGATGAAGAAATGTTTATTTATTAGTTTTTTTTTCTGTGCTAAATGGTGGAACAATTACCAGAACTTTTCTGAAGCTTTAAAAAGTCTGAAGAAGTTGGGAATTTGTTTTATGATTTTCCAGGTCTGACTAACAAACATCATGTGTGGCAACATGACGCATGTGGTTATAGTTTTCTAAATTGCTTAAATCTTTATATAAATACTGTTTTAAGCAAGGGTGAGCAGCACTAATCTAAAAATTAGTTGCACCAACCCTAAAGCACTAACTCAAATATTTAGGCCCCCTAATTCTAAAGCACTAATAAAACCCAGCTGACCCATGGAACATCAACATGAGACGATATTTACTTTGTGCAGAATGTTGTCAATGTTCAATGTCAGTACGTCACCCAGTGAATAAGTGACACACAGTGTCAGCTTTCACCCACAGCTGATAACAATAATGATCAATATTTAAAGACCTCAATAGTGCTTTTAAACTTAGCAGGCACTAATCCACTAAACAGCAAAAGCCCTAAAGCACTAATCAGAAAAGTAGTTCTGTTATTAGTGCTTTAGGGGAACCAGGCCCACCACTGATTTTGAGTAGATGTTCTTATTCCTCATCTTTAATAATCAGGACTCAGACAGTTGCCAAATATTCTCTTAGCATATAAACAGATTTCTTGTGAACTAACACGTGTAACGTTTGATTTAGATGTGAGTTTTTGGATTAAAAATACAATATTTAGACTTTTTTTGCAACACATCATTCATCAGCCATGTTCATAAACATGATCTTTAATGTTTAAAATGTAGTGACGAAAGATTAAAGCCTGTTTTAGTAAAAAAAAAAATTACAAGTCTCTTTTTTGTGATCTGGTAAAAAGTGGGTGTAGGTCTTAATTTTAACGTTCTTTAAGAACCAAYACTAAAATCCATGTTTTTTATTTTTATTTTGTTTGTTTGTTTTTGTATGAGGATTTGGAGCATTGTACTGAGATGATTTAATGGAAACGTCTCACCCTTCAGCCTTGTTTAGCGTTTTCAGATTTTTCTGTCACCTTAAACTGTTTTAACCTCAGAAGGAGATGTGAAATAGTTTTTCCCCAGACGAATTATTCGGTGTAATTTTGTGTAAAATGTGATGTGTAATAAAGTAAGTGTACTTTTATGGTCAAAAATGACCTGAAAATACTTATAATCTGTAAACGTGAGCCTGGAAAAGTCTGAATTTGTGAAAAGAGGACAAACGGTAGGAACCCTGAATTACACTTCAGCTTTTTAAAATCCATCTAACCTCTCGTCCTCCTTCCTTTTCCTGTGTCCTCAGGGCTTTCAGCTTCTGCCTCACTGCTATCCCTCGCCTGGATGATCTCCTCCTATCAGAAAGTCCTGCGAGACTCTCGGGACGATAAGCTGCCCATGACCTACAAAGCCGTCATAGTTCAGATCCTGTGGCACTTGTTCACCATCGGTGCTCGCACGCTGGCCTTCGCCCTGTTCGCCTCCATGTTCCAGCTTTACTTCGGCATCTTCATCGTGGCCCACTGGTGCATCATGACCTTCTGGATCATCCAGGGCGAGACGGACTTCTGCATGTCCAAGTGGGAGGAGATCATCTACAACATGATGGTGGGCGTCGTGTACATCTTCTGCTGGTTCTCCGTCAGAGAGGGGCGCACTCGCTACCGGCTGCTCGTCTACAGCCTGACGGTGTTCGTGGAGAACGTGGCGCTCACCGCCGCCTGGTACGTGTGCCGGGGYGCCGCCGAGCGCCACGGCAGCTCAGACTTCTACGCGGTGGTCCTGGTGTGCGTGGTGGCCAGCAGCTACGCTCTGGGCACCTTCTTCATGTTCGTGTACTACTGCCTGCTGCACCCGGACGGCGCGGTCTCAGGGTGGGGTTACACGGTGGAGAAGGAGGTGCCTGTGGAGCTGCTGGCCTCCCCAGCGTCCAGCCTCCCTCCTGATCTGGTGAGCAGCCCCCCGAGGACCCTCCAGAGAACTAAAGGCTTGGACAGGGAGCAGGCTGGGGTCGACGGAGACGTGTTTAAGGTGCGGCCTCCTAGGGGGGTTAAGCCCCCCTTGCCTGACCTCAAACCCAGGACAGAGGGGCCTGTCATCCGGATAGATTTGCCCAGGAAGAGGTACCCGGCGTGGGACGCTCACTTCATCGACCGCCGGCTGCGTAAAACCATCCTGGTGCTGGAGAGGGCTGCCCCAGTTACACCCAGGATTCAGTACCGCTGCCTGAGCACAGCCAAAGAAGTGATGGAGTACGAAACCACCGTGTAATGAGCTGAACGTGCGCACACACACACGCGCACACACACACACACACACACACANATTTTTGAGGCTCTTTATACAGGTAAATGTCCCAAGAGGTTGCCATGTAAGGGCACTGTACACAAAAACAATAACTCTAAAGAAGCCAGACAATCACACACACACACACACACACACACACACACACACATACACACACCCTGCCTTAAAACCGGCAGGAGGCCGGCTCGCACGGCGCGCTCTGTTTTCAGCTGTTTTTTTATCCGAGCTGTCAATCACTGCGCTCAAAACAGGGCGAAGGAATGGGCGGAGCTTTCTGTCTTTATGTTCTACAGAGAGAGAGAGGAAAACAAGAAAAAATAAATGCTGAGATGTTGCGTAACGATCRGTGCATTCTTTAGTTTCTGTTTTAATCCTCAGGTCATGACGCGGCACAGGAGGTGAAGCTAGAAGCACAGGYAGGCAGAGATGTGGAGCTGTTATCAGTCAGAGGCAGAAGGTCCTCCTCTGTGGGGGTGGGGGGGGGCAGCCCGTCCCTCTGCAGGTGGCTGAAGCAGCATGCATGATCATTAACGGCAGCTAAGTCAGGAGGTGAGGCGCGCGTTTCTTCTGCAAACAATCCACGAATCAARACGGCACAGGGAGTTCTTTTCATGGTTAGGATTTACCGTAGCTTTCTGGTCACTTTAAAAGCTGAAGGTGAACTTAAAAAGCAGCATTTAGGTTGAATGTAAAAACTGCGGAGGATGAGATGATCTGTAACGAAGCTTTTCAAGCAGTTTTCATGCTGTTCGAGAGGCTTTTAACATTCCTATGAYACCTTTTTTAAGTTAAGCTAAGATTGAAAAAAAAAACTGTGTTTACAAGCTGTGTGTAAATGTCGGGACACACCATCACCTTCCTCCAGAATGTGTTGCACTGAGAACTGGCTACACTAACTTTCATCACKTTTAAAGAGGTCATTGGATCGGAGTCAAACAGTTTCCAACTATCTTTCTGCTCGGCAACCAAAAGGAACAAAAACAAACAAAAACAGGTTGTTTTACATGTAAATGACTGTACAATGAAGGGAAGCTTTAAGTTAGACAGCACTGTTTATTATTGTACTGTGTGCATCCATGGTCATCTGAAAACTGTAGAAAGAAAAAGAGTCTGGACTCCTAACAATAAAGCTTTGATATTATTGGTGGCGCAGGCATGAGGTACTTTAGATAAATGCTATAAATATCTGTTGTTTTTGTTACCTTTTTAACAAAACTTTTCTAAAATTTGGCATTTCTTTTTTTTACTCGACTGAACTGATCAAACCGACAAAGAGTCAGTCACACTGCTAGTTTTATTTGACTCTGAATATGTAGTTTACTGTCTTAGCACCCCTTCTTTTTACCATAATTAGTGACGAACTAAAACTTTTAAAGGTTCTTATTCMTTTACTTGTTTATTTATTTCTTTTGCAGAACTTTTTTAAGTAATTAGAGCTTTTTGGACCAGTGAAACAGATCCTTATCAYATGTTCTCTTATCAAAGTTGTCTTTAGCATAGAGAAGGAATATTTCTGAAATATGTGTCTGTRTGTGTGTGGACTTGCATACAAATGGGAGGAAAAGGGGCTGTGAATTTAAAACCATGTCATCCTGATATGACAGTTTTCTTGTAAATGCTCTCTATTTTGATTTATTTTTTCATACAGCACCTTTGTCATCTTTCTTGTAAAAAAAAAAAGCCATCGAGGCTTTGTTTATGGTGCTAACTGTAGGAGTCCATCATGTAACAACCACAAAGTGTACCATAAACTGAGCTTGTTTGGTGCAGGACCCGGGTGGGGCCGCACCACAAACACAAAACTAGAATCAAAAAGCCTTAAACTGGATTTACCGGACTGTTTCTGTTCAGATCCAGAAATATATACTGTCCATCACCGAGACGAGGAAAAACAATTTCATTATGTGATTGTTGGTCAAATAAAGAGCAATGTGTTTACCTGAGCTTTGTTGTTATGTGCTAATTAAAAACAAAAATAAGGTAGATAGTTTATTCATTAGTGGGATTGGTTTARGAAGACAAAGGCTCTGGTAACCCTGAGATTTAATCCCATCTCCACGGTAGATTAACGGATTACTGTTGTTAGATTGCTCACCTTCATCTACCCCCACAGACGTAAGCAGCGCACAAACACCAAATTACTGCCAATAATTACATACAAATTATAAGGTTTTGTTACTTTTCCTCAGGAAATGGAAAACCTTCTTTTAGGTCTGGTACAGATATTTAAAGACTTACAAGTTACAGGAGCTTCAGAATAAAACTCATTACTTATTCAAACATTTAMATGAATTCAGACTGAATGACACTGCCTGGCCCAAAACAAAGTGTCCACCTGGATGTAACTAAGGTCTATGATGTGGGGTTGCTGCAGTTGGTCAGGTTCAGGTTCAGCAACAGGTTGTGCTCAAAGAATGAGGTCAGCTGACCTGAATTTACCGAATGACCAGGTTATTATTCCATCAATGGATTGTTTCTTCACTGATGCCACGGCCATATTCCAAGATGATAATACCAGGATTCATGGGGCTGGAACTGTGAAAGAGTTGATTCAGGGAGCATGAGACATCATTTTCACACATGGATTAGCTCCACAGAGTCCRTTGGGAATCTCTGGGATGTGATGGAAAAGGCTTTGTGCAGCGGTCAGACTCTACCATCATCAATGACAGATCTTGGTGAAAACTTTGCAACACTGGATGGAAATAAATCTGGTGACACTGCAGAAGCTTATCCAAACAATGGCACAGGGAATGTGTGTCATAATCAAAGCTAAAGGTGGTCCAGTGAAATRTTAGAGTGTGATCTTTTTTGTGTAAACACATAAATGCAAAACAAACAGATAATAAATTCTTATGCCCACWACCTTTTCAGTGCCGACAGTTGTGGTCTACATATACTCATGGTGGGTCTTTTAATGATTTGTTTAGAGAGTTTTTTTCTCCATGGTGGATTTTGATGGATTTTCTTCACATATGATCAGAGTATACAGCCCAAAAATATATACACTCACCAGCCACTTTATTAGGTACACCACACTAGTAACAGGTTGGACCCCCTTTTGCCTTCAGAACTGCCTCAATTCTTCGTGGCATAGATTCAACAAGGTGCTG